ACTCTATGTTGTCATTCAAAAAAATAAAGAACTTAAAAAATATTTAAAAATATAATTTTTTAATAAAAACGTTGGTTTTTTAACAACTTGAAACAAACCATGTAAAAAAATATTTTGAAAAAAGTCAATACTTTTTGAAATAAAGAGTGTTTTATGATAAATCAATCACCCTGTATATAATTAAGTTTGTATTCATTTTTGGATATTCTTAAAAATGCTTATTAGTTTGTAGGTTCCTACTATATTTATTTTGCAAATCATTAATTTAAAGTTCTTCCTGTTTAGCTCCTYATATATWACTGTAATACAGTCATTTACATTTTATTTATACCAAAAGGTATTAAATAATTACTTATAGCAGGGGTGGCRAACCTTTTTTTGATCTAGTGCCAAATTTTTGAAATAAAGGGTTAGACAATTTTCCATGTGCCCAAAGTGTGTAAACACTAAAAAGAACATAATTAGTTATAACAAATTTACTATTTACTACTAATGACTAATATTAGAGATGTTATAAACCATAATATTGATGGTCGAACAAAACTTTTATTTAAATTAATGAACTAGAACAGATCCAAACCTCCACACTTTTAATCTAAACCGAACCAAACTCTTCAAATATCTTATCAAAATCAAAATGAACATTAAAAAAATCAAAATTGAATATTATTTTATTTAAAATTTATTAAAATTCAAAATTTAATATTTATTTTTATTTCTCTGGTTGGATTATTGAATTGAACTGTTAAGGATTGGTTCAGTTCTATTATTTGGAATTTACAAGTTTAATTTTTGTACCAAATCAAACACACAGTTGGGTTTGGTTGTATAACTGTTGATTATGTTTGTTACAGTTTTCCATATCTCTAACTAATATTATTAGGACTTTATTCAATTATTGAATTAATTTAAGTATGAAAGCATTGAATTATTCTAAATATTTTTTTTAGGTTGTAAAATTGTAAATGGTGCTCCAGCTTATTCAAATTCTTATCAAAATATACTTAAATTGGCTGATATATTTTGTGTTAACGAATCTGAGGCAGAAATTTATACAAATTGCATAAAGAAAATTGATTGTATTGAATCAGCTAATGAGRTTTTATCATTACTCTTAAAACAAGGATGTAAAATTGTAATTATTACGTTAGGATCTCTAGGTGCTGTATTTGCATCCAAAGATGAACAAAAACCACAGTGGGTTCAAGTACCTAAAATAGAAAATCCTACTGATACTTCAGTAAGTAATGTTCATAAAATTTAATTTTGTTGATTATTAAAGTTCATTGAAATATTTTTTATATTTTGTTTAGGGAGCTGGAGATGCATTTTTGGGATCTCTAGCTTATTTTATTGTTCATACCCCAAAGTTGAGTTTATATGAACAAATTAGAAGAGCATGTATTATAGCTACTAAGACAGTTCAATTTCAAGGAACTCAGAAAAGTTATCCTTTAAAAAATGATTTACCTGAAGAACTTTTCAATTAAAAATGTATGCATGCATTAAATATGTGGTAGTACTTAATAATAATTTATGCATTTTAAAAATTATTTCATTATACATTTTATGCGTTAAAATGTTATTTTTTAAACTATTATAAATTATTCGAATAAAATTCATATTATTATCAATATATGCCAATAATATTAATCT